CTAGAGAGTATAATGCTAAGTAAAATAAGTTAGTCTGAGAAAGACAGATACTGTATGATTTCACTCATATGTGGAATTTAAGAAACAAAACAAATGAGCAAAGGAAAAAAAGAGAAACCAAGAAAGAGATTCTTATCTATAGAGAACAAATTGATGGTTATCAGAGGGGAGGTGGGTGGGGGGATGGGTGAAATAGGTGATAGGGATTAAAGAGTACACTTATCATGATGAGCACTGAGTATTGTATAGAATTCTTGAATTGCTATATTGTACACCTGAAACTAATAAAACACTGTATGTTAACTATACTGGAATTAAAATAAAAAAAAACTTAAAGAACTAATCCAAGTAGTTTTGGAACAGTAATTTGACTATATACTGTCAACAGTATTATTAGTTGTCTTATTAAAAACAACAAAAGATTGCAAACAAATCTTGAGTGCTTTGCAGTTTTGTTTTTAGCAGTGCTATGAGTGCAGGAATTCTGAAACTATTTTGTGTATGTGATAAGAATGACCAAATGTGAAAATATATTGCTGCTGTTAGGAACCAAAGATCTAATGTTTGAGAAGAGGTGAGAATATGGAAAGAAGGAAGGCAAGGAAAAAACCTTTATCACTATGAACTCATGAATTTTAAAAAGGCCGACTAGGGGCGCCTGGGTGGCGCAGTCGGTTAAGCGTCCGACTTCAGCCAGGTCACGATCTTGCAGTCCGTGAGTTCAAGCCCCGCGTCGGGCTCTGGGCTGATGGCTCAGAGCCTGGAGCCTGTTTCCGATTCTGTGTCTCCCTCTCTCTCTGCCCCTCGCCCGTTCACGCTCTGTCTCTCTCTGTCCCAAAAATAAATAAACGTTGAAAAAAATAAATAAATAAAAAGGCCGACTAATAGAAGGAAGGATGGAGTTAGAAAATCACCACAGTATAACCACCTTAGTAAAAACTAAGGTAGACTATCTTCCCAGTGTGGGTGGGCATCATTCAATCTGTTGAGGGGCTAAATAGAACAAAAGTAGAGGAAGGGGGGATTGGTGCCTTGCTTGCCTGCCTGAATTGGGACACTGCTCTTTTCCTGCTCTTGAACTAGGATTTATACCATCAGCTCTCCTGATTATCAGGCCTTTGGACTTGAACTAGAATCACACTGCAGGCTTTCTTGGGTCTCAGGCTTGCAGATGGTAGATGGTGAGACTTAGCCTCTATAATTTTATGAGCCAATTCTTCATCATCAATGTATCTCTATATATGCAAGTATTTATATATATATACACACACATATATATCTCATTATCAATACATTTTAAGAATTATATCTATACCATTTTATCTTTGAATATTATATTTTATTAATACTGTATTATTATTATATCCTTACATATATATGTATCTGCTATTGGTTCTGTTTCTCTGGACAACCCTAACCTACACAATTGCCAAAACAAAATATAAAATGCTATGATCATTTAAAATTGATGTACAAAAGTGAAATGTTCAATTTAAGATTAAAAAAAAACCCAAGTCTTTAGAATGGCTTTACAGGATAATAAAAGAAATTTAAACAAGTGGAATAAATGAAGAACCCATTACTAAAGCTGGTAAATGGCTTTACTGACTAGGATTGAATAATTTTATGAGTGGAAAAAACAATCAGCAAGCCATAATTTTTATCTAATGAAAAATATCTTGGCTTGTCCTTAAGTTCACTAATTTTAGTATCAAGTCATGGAGTACTATACATAAATAACAGCGATCTTTAGAAATTAAAAATATAGGCAAATTCCTAAGTGAACCATAACAAGGGTTCTTGTTCCTCCCTTGCTACTTGAAAGCCCACCGCTATGAGAGCGGTTGTTAAAAATCTGGATATAAGCAAATTGATGGGTTCAGAAAAATAAGTAAGGGAAGAAAGTATAAAAAGTTAGAGTAGCTTAAGAGGAGCTGATTGGGAGGAGAGCAAAGGTAAGTTTGGCTTCTTATGTGGTATTGCTGTTGTTTCAAAACATTTCCTCCTTCACTGCCTACTTTTACTCCTAAGTTTGTTACACTTTATATAATTATATCAGAAATTCATTTGGTTTCACAGGTATCTGCTTTCAAAATAGGATTATACATGATTCAAAAACTGTTACTTGCCACTTGCTCTCACCGTATGTCCTTTTGGAAAATTTGAGATTTTTACATCTGTATATCTTGCCAATTTAAAAAGACATTAAATAAGTTAAACAAAAAGAGAATGCTTGTCTCTCAATATCTAGTTGAGATTGATTTCACTGAGGAAATGGGAACTTTGCTTAGGGAAAGGAAGGAGTAGTAATTTACAGCAAAAATATTTGTGGGACAGGGTACATGAAAAGATTTGGAGCTGGGGCAACATGGCTAGGAACAGCAGCTAGTAAAAACAGATTAAAGGGGTACAATAACGTACGAGATGCCAAACAAAGAAAATTTCTTTGAGAAACTCTTCCCTTTGTCCTTGCTGTACTCTAAATGGCATTCAATTTTTGTATATTTTAACCTAGACTAATACTATAGTTCAGCTACATTATGAAAAAATAGACTTCTGGAGTTATAACCACAAATTACAACACCGTTTGTATGGAAAATGCATTCTGAATTCCACTCAAATGATTTAAAAAACATTTTGAAACATACCTTATAACCTTTTTCTAAGTTTGGAAAGGTATGCTAACTTACAACATAAGACCAAAAGCTCCCAAAGGGGAGAAACTTCATCTTCTTCATCTTTACCCATCCATCACATTGTGTGGCACACAGACGATATAGCTGAAAGGGTAAATGAGCTGAACATATGAACTACTTTGAAAATTTAACCCCCTATTCTGCTTAATTCAATTTTTCCAGCCTCACTGGATAGATGTAAGTATTCTTTCCAGAACATATGTGGAAAGTAGATTTTTGTAGATAATATCTTCATTCAAGGCAACACTGGCTGGCCAATATGAAAACAGTTGGATGCTGGCATATAGGTCCCCTAGGTTCTTCCGGATCCCTTAATCTGCTGGCTTCATTCATTGTGTTCCTAGCTCTTGAGCCAGATCTTTGTGAGGCATTATGTTCCCAGACAATGTATTATTTTTCCACCTATGTAAAATCTGAAAAGGGCATTTTCCTCAGTTTTACCTTAAGCTAGTCTCTTATTCATGGGCTTGGAAACTGGGCTCAATGAGTATTAAAATTAAGATATCAGATACCATGATCACATGAACACTGTAAAATACACCACAAAGTATTTTCTTCTTTGAAAAGAATACTTAGGGATGCCTGGGTGGCTCAGTCAGTTAAGTGTCAGGTCATAATCTCATGGTTTGTGAGTTCCAATCCCACACCAGGCTCTCTGCTGTCAGTGTGGACCCTGCTTCCGATCCTCTGTCTCCCTCTCTCTCTGCCCCTATCATGCTCGGGCACGTACTTTTGTGCATGCTATCAAAAATAAATAAACATTAAAAAAAGAAAAGAAGAATACTTCAACTCAGATATAAACTTTTTTAATTTCTGCAAATAAGTTATTTCTCTTACATTATTACTTTTACAAATATGACCCTTTTCTTTCAAGACACATGTGTGTGTGGCACAAAAACAGACACTCAGATCAATGGAACAGAATAGAAAACCCAGAAATGGACCCACAAACGTATGGGCAACTAATATTTGACAAAGCAGGAAAGAATATCCAATGGAATAAAGATGGTCTCTTCAGCAAGTGGTGCTGGGAAAACTAGACAGCGACATGCAGAACAATGAACCTGGACCACTTTCTTATACCATACACAAAAATAAACTCAAAATGAATGAAAGACCTAAACGTAAGACAGGAAGCCATCAAAATCCTCGAGGAGAAAGCAAGCAAAAACCTCTTTGACCTTGGCTGCAGCAACTGCTTATGCAACATGTCTCCGGGGGCAAGAGAAACAAAAGCAAAATTAACTATTGGGACCTCATCAAAACAAAAAGCTTCTGCATAGCGAAGGAAACAATCAGCAAAACCAAAAGGCAATCGAAAGGGAGAAGATATTTGCAAACGACATATCAGAAAAAGGGTTAGTATCCAAAATCTATAAAGAACTTATCAAACTCAACACCCAAAAAACAAATCATCCAGTGAAGAAACGGGCAAAAGACATGAATAGACACTTCTCCAAAGAAGACATCCAGATGGCCAAATGACACATGAAAAAATGCTCAATATCACTCATCATCAGGGAAATACAAATCAAAACCACAATGAGATACCACCTTACACCTGTCAGAATGGCTAACATTAACAACTCAGGCAACAACAGATGTTGGTGAGGATGCGGAGAAAGAAGATCTCTTTTGCATTGTTGGTGGGAATGCAAGCTGGTGCAGCCACTCTGGAAAACAGTATAGAGGTTCCTCAAAAAGCTAAAAATAGAACTACCCTATGACCCAGCAATTGCACTACTAGGCATTTATCCAAGGGATACAGGTGTGCTGTTTCAAAGGGACACATGCACCCCCATGTTTATAGCAGCACTATCAACAATAGCCAAAGTATGGAAAGAATCCGGATGTCCATTGATGGATGAATGGATAAGAAGATGTGGTATATATATACAATGGAATATTACTTGGCAATCAAAAAGAATAAAATCTTGCCATTTGCAACTATGTGGTCAGAACTAGAGGGTATTATGCTAAGCCAAATTAGCCAGAGAAAGACAAATGTCATATGACTTCACTCATATGAGGAATTTAAAATACAAAACAGATGAACATGAGGGAAGGGAAGCAAAAATAATATAAAAACAGGGAGGGGGAAAAAACATAAGAGACTTTTAAATATAGAGAACAGAGGGTTACTGGAGGGGTTGTGGGAGGGGGGATGGGCTAAATGGGTAAGGGGCATTAAGGAATCTACTCCTGAAATCATTGTTGCACTATATATGATAACTAACTTGAGTGTAAATTAAAACAAATTAAAAAGACACATGTGTATAATTATTTTAAAAACAACAAACTTACTCATCATTGTCTTTTGTTGTAGATTCCTTCCTTTCATTTAAACTGAGGTGATTCATTTTTTTCCTCTTTCCTATATACATACAGTAAAAAGAACATAAAGTTAAGGGAAAATTGTCAAGTTTTAAATAGAATTAGTTCGCCAAAGTTTAAATAGAAGCTAAAGGGGTAGACAAAAGGGAATAGGAAAAGAAAAAGTATCCTGCAATTTGTTATGGGAAAAAAGTCATTATTATGAATAACTTTTCAATAGCTATTTTGTTTTTTTATTTTAAAATCTCCACCCCCCTCTTTTTAAATTTTAGAAAGAGTGCATGGGGGTGGGAGAGGTTGGGTGAAGGAGGAGCAGAGGGAGAGAGAGAGAGAGAGAGAGAGAAAGAATCTTAAGCAGGCTCTACACTCAGCACAGAGCCCCATGCGGGGCTCAATCTTATGACCCTTGAATGATGAACTGAGCTGAAATCAAGAGTTGGATGCTCAACCATCTTAAGCACTCAGGTGCCCCCCCCCCCAATCTCTCAATTTTTTATTCATGAGGACATTATATAGGAAAAAGAATCTTTACTAGATGACGGATACTTTCATCAGATAGTTTAATAAAAAACATTATTTTAAAGTTTCTAGTTTGTATTGTTTCACCCCTATTTTTTGCCTCAAAGTTAACAAGGGGTTGGTGCTATGCTTCTAGCTAGAAAATAGTGAGTTCCTAGTGCTATCACAGTAAAATAAATTTGATATTAGGAATCAACGTACCTGATTTTAACTGCATATTGAAAAAATGCATATTGATTTAGTAAATTCTTGGAAAGATCTGTGTGCTGGGTTGAAATGTAAATTTGATTTTATAGTTCTGGTAGAATATGATGTTTGCACTTATTAGTGGTCAATTACTATTATCATAGATAATATTAGTCATAGATAATTGTTTTATAGGCTCCCCATTTAGTTATTTTTTTCTACTGTACTGCATAGTACAGTAATCCATATACTTTAAACATATTTGATGTATAATAATACAATAATTTAATTTAAATACAACAATAATACAAACAATATTTGAGAACATATTAGCAAAAAGATTCTTAACGTCTTACATATACTGGCCTTTAATAAATGTTTGTTGAATGAATAAGGAAGCAAATAAATGAATAATCCAAACTTTTCACTGAAAAACAGACCAGAGAAATCACTTTTTAAAATGTATAACTGGTGGGGCGCCTGGGTGGCTCAGTCGGTTAAGCGTCCTACTTCGGCTCAGGTCATGATCTCACGGTCCGTGAGTTCGAGCCCAGCGTCGGGCTCTGTGCTGACAGCTCAGAGCCTGGAGCCCGTTTCAGATTCTGTGTCTCCCTCTCTCTCTGACCCTCCCCTGTTCATGCTCTGTCTCTCTGTGTCTCAAAAATAAATAAACGTTAAAAAAAAATTAAAAAAAAATGTATAACTGGTAAAAAATAAATAAATAAATAAAATAAAATGTAGAACTGGTGACAACCTCTACGTATTTTTATGCAGTTCCATTTGTTCAACAACTGGCACAAGAACTCTTACTCAACATTCTCATTATTTTTCTAAAAAAGTTGTTTGATACAATCTACCATGAAAACCTAGCTCACATTCTACAACAGAAATATAATGTGAGCCACTTATGTAATTCAAACTCTTCTACTAGTGAAATTCTTTCGAGGAAAAAAATAGTGAAATAAACTTTAATATTTCATTTAACCCAATATACACAACATACTATAATTTTAACACACAATAATATAAGATTATTAATGAGATCATTCATATTCTCTTTTTCACACCATCTGATCTCTGGTGTGTATTTTACACTTATAGCACATCTCGATTCTGATCTACCTTCTAAATGCTCTATACCTAAACATATTGGACAGTACAGCTTTATGTAATACTTCAGGAGGATCCAATACTTCCAGATGAAACCCAGTACACAGAAAACACAAAGGCAATTTCTTTACATTTTCAAATGTGATTTATTAACATATCAGAGTAGTCTGGAACGGACTTTCCAATGCTGGTTTACTCTTTTTTCTTCACTTAATTCTTATTCCATTACTCTTACTTGCTCCTATTACTAGAGGAAAAGCTCATTTTTACTTATACCAAATATACTTATACCAAAGTATATTTTCTATTCTCTGGTATTTGTAATTTCACTAAGTTGGTTCAGAAACTGATGAACAATAATTACCCTCATTATTACTTTGGATCTGCGGCTTCTTTCAAAAAAATCATGTAACTAAATTATCTCAAAATAGTCTTTAAAATCCCAAAAAGAAAATCTTGTGATTCAGAAGTTGTGCTAAAGTACTAGTTATCTCTCTTGTTTATTAACTTTTTATTATTTGACTTGTCTATATCCCTAAATTCCAAATAGTAAGAGTTTATTTAACAAAGAATTAAAGGGAAAAACAGTAACAATATTTTATTTATGATTTTAGAGAACTTTGAGGAAAAAGCCTATTAAAATCCATCTCTTTTTAAAAACAATCAAGCTAAAAATGTATCTGTTTTGTAGAAAACTACAAATGAAATTCCAGGATACACATTGAACCTTTATTTCAGAGAATCTTTGCCTAAAGGTTAATACTAGTTTCCTGAATTTTGTACTATGCTGTCTGCATTCAATAAAGCTCCAAAATTAAGTTACTTTGTTCCTTTAACTTGTAATTAATTTTCACATTTTAGTACCATCAGTCAATAAAGTTAGGCGAGAAATAGTAAAAGAATGCTTTATTTGAATTTTCACCAGGTGGTCAATGCCTGTTGAAACATTTTTATTATTGTAAGGGGATTAGTTAGATATCTTATCCTATAAAATGCAATCAATAGCATTAATCTCCATCTTCTCATGGAAGGACTTACGCTTCTGATATACTTTCCAACTGTTAAATAGGAGGAGTTTTAATATCTCTAAGAATAACACTTGGACCAGTTATCAGAGACTGTTTAGACTCTACTATATCATTAAGAGTATTCCAGGGGTGCCTGTGTGGCTCAGTTGGTTGAGCGTTTGACTTTGGCTCAGGTCATGATCTCATGGTTTGTGAGTTTGAGTCCTGCTTTGCGCTCTGTGCTGACCGCTCAGAGCCTGGAGCCTGCTTCAGATTCTGTCTCCATCTCTCTCTGCCTCTCCCCTACTAATGCTCTGTCTGTCTGTCTCTCAAAAATAAACACTAAAAAAATTAAAAAAAAAAAAAAAGAGAGTATTCCAGTTACTTAATAATTACTTCCTTGATTTCGTTTCATTCTATTAACAATGAACATATGTTAAAGAGCCACAGATTATAAATGGTCTTTTTCTTGCTAGGTGTACATAACAAACAGTTGTGTATGTGGCTCCCTTTAAAGGAGTTTCACAATACACTGATGAAAAATGTACCATCACTGAATCTGGACTATATTCAAAATTGTATTTAGACTTTCTGGTAAGGCTCAAGGAGCCCTTTCTCTAACCAGTGAAGATAACTTTCAACAGACCACAATGTTTAGAAATACAATCAATGACCTTAATGATAATGGCTAACACTTACACAGTATTTTTAGGACCAGGAACTGATTTAAGTGTTACGTATATAAACTAATCTGCAAAACTGAATTGGTCACTCTTATTCCCATTTTACAGATGAGGAAACAGAGGCACAGAATGACTACATAACTTATCCAACGCCCTAAAGCTAGTAAGTGGCAGAGTTAGGATCTAAACCCAGTCATCTGGCTACAAAGATTGTTCTCTTAACCAGGATGCTACACTTATTTAAACAGGTTTAGGTTGGTATTATGCTGTTTCCAGATATGTACACTTTATAGTTGACATACATCTTAGGCATCATTTGGTCCCAAACCAAAAGTTATGAGTTGAGGAAAACCTTGACCCAGACAGGTTCAAGTGATTTGTCTAAGGTATTACACACTAGTTAGTAATTTTTTTCTAAAAGAGTTATTGCCAGATCAAGTTAGAGCCTGTAGGCTAAGAGGCAAATGAAATCATGTTATTCTTTTAGTTAACCGCATTATTATTATTAAACAAGAGTGGAGAGTGAGGACCCTCTTTAGAGGATCAATTTATGAAAAATAACAATGCTAATGGTTCCTTTTTTAAAATTCAAAATACTTTTATTGAGTCCCATGTATGGAAATGTAATATTGTTAAAATATTTCCTATATTATTGAAAAGAAAGGTATCAATGAGAAAATCAATTGCTTTTTAGCTATTAAAACATTAATATTTGAGAAGCAGAATGGTAAGTTTTTAAAGCTTTCACCCTAATTAGACTCACATTAAGAAGCATTTGGCTCATATATCTCAAACTGCTCATCAGATATTTAAACTGATAATTTATCAGCTCCTTTGAAATACATATTGTCTGTCCCTTCTCCCACTTAAAAAGAAATCAGTCTTGCCAGAGATCTACCATTTGATTAGTCTTTTCAAAGAACCTGCTTTTGATTTTATTGCTTTTCTTTATTATTATCTTATTTTCTATTTAATAGTTTCTATCTTTTACTATTTCCTTTCTTATATTTTGGGAAGTTCTATTTTTTTCCATCTTTTGGAGTTGAATGCTTGCCTCATGGGTTTTCAATCATTCTTCCTTCTTGTTTTTAAAATTTTTTAAAAATGTTTATTTATTTTTGAGAGTCAGATAGAGACAGAGAATGAGCAGGGAAGAGGCAGAGAGAGAGGGAGACACAGAATCTGAAGCAGGCTCCAGGCTTTGAGCTGTCAGCACAGAGCCTGATGCGGGGCTTGAACTCACAAACCGTGAGACTGACTAAGCCACCCAGGCGCCCCAATCATTCTTCCTTTCTAAATATATGCATTTATAAGTATAAAATTTCCACTAAGAACTGTTTTAGTATAATGCAGTATTCAGGTGTAAATTTTTCCTGTAAGTTTTCTGTTTTCATTATCATTCCATTTTAAATATTTTATACCTTCCTTTATGATTTTTCTGAACAATGAATTATTTAGAAGTTTCCAGGTTTCCAAACATGTGGGCTAAAAATTTTTAGAGGGCTGCCTTTTTATTATTGATTCCTAATTGCATGAAATTTTGGTCAGAAAATTTGATAGTAATTTTTAGTATGTTGAGACTTATTTGTGACTCCATACTGGCTATATATATTTTTTGGGGGGGGGAGGTAGGGGCAGAGAGAGAGAATCATATGCAGGCTCTGTGCTTAGTGTGGGGCCCAACTTGGGGCTTGATTTCACGACCCTGAGATCATGACCCAAGCCAAAATCAAAAGTCGGACACCCAACTGAATAAGCCACCTAGGTGCTCTCAAACTGGCTATATTTTTGTTAAAGTTCTGTCATGCTTTATCATGTGTGAGGTATTATACTTGTTTGACCACAGTTTGTTAGATCATGCTTGCTAGCTGTGTTTAAATTGTTTACGTCTGTCCTAAGTTTTTTATCTATTTCATCAGTTTCTTAAAGTATTTTTTAAGTTTATTTATTTATTTTGGGGGAGAGAGAGAGAGAGAGAGAGAGAGAGAGAGAGAGAGAGAGAGAGAATGGGGCGGGGGGCAGAGAGAGAGGGAGAGACAGAATCCCAAGCAGGCTCCACACTCTCAGTGTGGAGCCCATGTGGGGCTCGAATCCAGGAATCATGAGATCATGACCTGAACTGAAAACAAGAGCCAGACACTTAATTAACTGAGCCACCCAGGTGCCCCTGAAAGAGGTAGTTTAAAATCTACTATGATTTGGGATTTGTGGGTCTCTCCTTATAATCCTGTCCCATTTTGTTATGTTTTGTTTGAGTTTTTGTTTTAGATGTACATAGTTTCAGGATTCTTTTTCTGATAGTGACTCTTCCCTTTTCCCACTATGTAAAGAGTTCTATTATCTTCAATAAAGCTTTTTTGCCTTAAAATCTATTTTGGTCTATATTAATATTCTTATGCCAACTATAACTTTTTTTAAAGCCAATATTTGCTTTCTTTTCTTAAACATCCTATATCTTTTCTTAAAACATAAATAAAGATATTAATAAAAACAGTTAAAATATGTGTTGAAAACTTAAATACATGTCAGGTACTGTTCTAAGTGCTTTTTGTATATGAATTTATTTAATTCTCACAACAATCCTAGGGTAGATATTATTACTTTCCCCATTTTACATGCAAGTAAACAAAAACTCAATTATAAAGTCAATTAACAGATATTCTATCTGCTCCCTAAAAATTACAAGAATCTTAAAGCACTTTAGCTTCTTCCTGCTCCCTCATCAATATTCCATGCTATCACAGTCTATTATTTGTTTTTAACTCCATCTCTCAAATTGTCTTTTGCTTTATGGTCAGTGGAGTTTGTAGTCACATTTTTATAATTAGATTTATAATTAGATTTACCACCAGGTTTGCTAATTTATTTTTTCACCATTGCTCTTTGCAATCCATTCCTTTACTGGAGGCTCAGTTTGCTTATGTAAGTACACGTTTTAGTAGTCCTTTCAGGGAGTATGTGTGAATGGTAAATTCTTTCTGACTTTGTCTGAAAAAAATCTTTATTTCATCCTCAGTTCCTGAATTAAAAAAATCAGCTGTGATTTTTAGTTGGTATCATTCTACTTCCTGTTAGAATCTATTGCTATAGATGAAAAGTCTACTATCAGTCTGTCATTCCCTTGTAGGTTAGATGTCTTTTCTTTGGTGGCCTTTAAAAGTTTCTCTTTGTCTTTGATGTTCTGTAGTTTTACCATGATATGACTAGGTAAGGATTTGTTTTAATTCATCCTGCTCAAACTAAGCATGCTATTCTAACCTGGAAATTCTCATCTTTTCTTAATTGTGAAATTGAAATTATAAAAAAAACCCTGATGGTCCTTTTGTCTTAGAATACTGCCTCAGCCCCATTCTCCCTATTTCCTCCTTGTGGAACACCTATTTGACATATGTTGGAGCTTCTTATTTTATTCATCATTTTTTTTTATCGTTTTATCATATTCTCCATCTCTTTATCTCTCTGTGCTATTACACTGCTACCGTCTGGCTGATTTCTACAGATCTACTGTCTAATTCACAAGGACTCTCTTTGACCATGCAAATTTGTTGTTTATCCTTCCACTCAATTATTAAATACTAAGTCTGATGCATCCTTCCTCTTCACCGAAAACTTAATAGTTTGGAGAAATTTGCTAAGGAGTAGGGGAGGGCAGCAATATAATGATACACACACATAAACATATATAACAGTGAGAAACATATACAATGATAAGTAAATAAATATACATATCTCCAAAGTATAAACTGGAATCAGTCACCCTATTTTTGGCCCACATGTAGAATCTATGCAGAGGGAAGACTTAGAAACAGATCTTTCTTTCTTTTAGAAGTACAAATAGATTTAAATTTGGTATTAAGTCATCTGTTCACACAGTACATAGTTCAAATGTATATAGAAAGTACTTAGAAATACGCAGAGGAAGGGGTGCTTGGGTGGCTCAGTTGGTTAGGCATCTGACTCGATCTTGGCTCAGACCACGCATGATCTCACAGTTTGTGAGTTTGAGCCCCACATTGGGCTCTACGCTGACAGCACAGAGCCTGCTCGGGATTCTGTGTCTCTTTGTTTCTGCCCCTTTCCTACTTGCACTCTCTCTCTTTCTCTCAAAGTAAACAAACTTAAAAACAAAAAAAGAAAAGAAAAGAAATACGTAAAAGAAGAGTATTTTAGGAGGAAGAGTATTTCAGGTTGAGAGACGTGCAAGTGCAATGACCTTGTGGCAGGAAGCAGTTTGACATGATTGATTAATAGCAAGATAGTAAGAGTGGTTAAGGTAGTGTAAACATGGGAAGGGTAGTAGAAAATGAGATAGACGAGGTGGTCAGGTATTAGATGATATATGGCCTTAAAAGTCATGATAAGGTTTTGAATTATATCCTAAGTGTGATGGGAAGTGAATTGCACCTAAAACGCCCTTGAAAATGCTATTTAAATAAAAGAGCTTATTTAAGTTGCACCTTATGTTTTGTATAATATTTAAAAACTGAGATCTGTTAATAGAAGTTATGGGATCATTTGGAACTTAAATTACTTCATAAGAGTCAGACTTTCTTATTTCTAAAATGTGTATAAGATGACATATCAGGATGAGCAATGTAATGATTACAAATGACATAATGTGATATAAGATCCTAGAGAATTCTCCTATTTTCAGACTTTTGTATGTGAGATATATATATCAAAGAATATATAAGACATATATGTACAGTTTAATGAACCAGTATAACCACCATGTAAGTTAAGAAATAGAATATTACCAGCACCCCAGGAACCTTGCTGTATGACTTTTTAAAAAAGAGCTTACTTAGTACTATAATCTGTGATAATTATCCACTTAAATGTCAACTGGGATCACGTGACCAGTCTTTTTATAGGCAAAAGGAATGTTCCCTTAAGTCCATATTTAATTTCAATATGGAAATCGAGCAGGTATCCACTTAAAATCTATTCACATTTCAGTATGGTGATGTGCCATCTTTAAGGCACTAATTTTTAATTTTAAACAAAAGATATATCAAGTGTATTAAAAACAGATAGAGCTTGAAGAAAATGTATACATCTTCATACATTTTTGTGAAAGCAAACCTAATAGTAATAGCTTTAAGATAAAAAGCATTTGATTAAAGTAAAATAAAAGTCATTCAAAAGTTTAAGATCTTATTATAGGTTTCATTACAACAAATTGGGTAAAATGAGATTTCTTTGTTTCTGTGTGGCTTCTAGTATATTCTTAGCACTCAATAAATGTTAAACAATAAAATATGAATTAGGCTAATCACAGCACATCTAAAATATATTTTATTAAATTTGAGCCTACTTAGAATTTTATATTACAGAAACTTGACATGTTACTAATTCATGACTTTTTGTAATATTAAAAATTAAACCTATGAAATCTAGATTCATATATCTTTAAAAAATATTTTAGCAATAAACTACCAGAGAACAAGAAATATGCATGGCCAAAATTAACAATATTTCAAAATAAACAATTTCATAGTAAAATTAGGCTATCCTCTAGTAGAAAACTACAACTTTTTTGCAAATCCATTTAAAATAGTAAAGGAAAAGAAGGGAATGAAATATAATAAATAAAAGCAAGCTATATAAAGATAAACGAAATGTGAATAAAACTAAACGGACAACATGAATAAAAATAACATTTAGAGGTATCTCTCTTAAACTGTAGTGCAGCAGTACCTGAATTATATGCCCTTTAATTTATGCACATGATGGATACCTTGTTAAGGGGTGTATCTGTAACCACTGTAATTGATAGTAGCTGAAGGCAGTCAGACCATAATTTCTGTTTAATGGATGGGACAGTAAGGGAACAAAGTCTGCAGTAGCATTTTAAAATAAGTGCCTAGAAAGTTTACATTTATGTCCAAAGTAGTACCTATATTCTAGCCTTCTTTATGTTGAATTCTTTAAGAAAAATCAGCTGCAGCAAGATCCATATATTATTAAATAAAAATTCTGATTTAGCCAATAAGTAGAAAAATATTACAATAAATGGAAAAGAATGTTCAACTAACCATTTGATGGTTCACTTTTGTGGTCTTGTTCTTTAGAGCTTGCAGGAGAAGCAAATGGGCTCATTTGACAAGTTCCAGTTGTTGGAGAGTAAGTTGTAATACTGTTCTTCCTTGGGATTTTTGAAGAATCAAATGACTGAAAATAAATATTAATTTGAGACAAAAATACATTTAGTTGAGAATGTCTTTTAAAACTTGCAAAATTCAAACCAGTATGATTTTCCTTGATCTTTCTTTCAGATTTTAAATATACTCCATTACCACCTCCAAAGTGAACACTATTTTTTCAACTTTTGTAGCTATTTCAGGTCTCCACACTAATTAGGGCATCTCAACTTGATATTTATGAAATTTTAATATTAAAAGTTTACTACCATCTGAGATGGTATTTCCAAACAGTTTAGAGATGACTGACTCTCCCAATTATATCCTGACTTTTGCCGTCTGCTGGACCTGAAGTATAATTATGGGGCTAGGCCAGGGAAACCGTCATAAGTTTCTCTTAGGAAAATCCACAACGAAGTCCTAGGAAGGATAAGTGCTGTCTTAAACCTTCACAAATTTGCTCTGACACAGTGACTTGTCTTAAGGATAACCAAAATAATGTTCAAACAATTGAGTATGGCATTTAAGGGCCTTGAGAATTTGGTCTATCCTATGCAAATCCTCTCTGCAGCTTTCTCCTCTGTGTTCCCATACACCTCGCACATACCTCTTACTGGCGATAGTAAATTTTATTTTATTTTTGAGAGAGAGAGCACCCATGTGAGTAGGGGGGATGCAGAGAAGGGACAGAGAAGATGGGGAGAGAATCTTAAGTACGCTGGGACTGGAGCCTGAAGCAGGGCTCAATCTCATGATCAAGAGTTGAGTGCTTGGGGGTGCCTGGGTGGCTCAGTTGGTTAAGCATCCAACTCTTGATTTTGGCTCAGCTCATGATTTCATGGTTCCTGAGGTCAAGTCCCGCATTGGGCTTTGTGCTGACAGCAGAGCCTGCTTGGTATTCTCTCTCCCCCTCTCTCTCTGTCCCTCACACTCTCCAAATAAACTTTAAAAAAAAAAAAAATAGCCAGCCTAAAATAATCCTTATATTAAAAACAAAGGGGTTGGGTGTTTAACTTGTTGAGGCCAGTCATACACAGAGTGTCGGGATACTGAGGCTTTTCTTTCCAGGAAGCAGATTTATTTGTGCCAACACAGGCTCAGCAGGCTAAGATCTCCAAAAGGCTAAGCCCTGAGTGCAGCGGAGTGTGTGTGTGTGTGTGTGTGTGTGTGTGTGTGTGTGTGTGTGTTGCCTTTTGTACAATTTTTGCTCCTTTGTCTTCCATATATGATAACACACAGGCTGATTGGGCGGTCCATGTTAGAGAGTCAAGAGGAATGTTGCGCATGAGCACAGAGCCAGGCTGTCTTCCTTGTCTTGAGGTTTTTACCACATTCCTTAGGGAGGGGCTCTACCACAAACTGACTAAGCCACTCAGGTACCCCTGGAGACAGTAAATTTTAATAATTGTTTACATTTCTGTCTGCCCCATTAGAATTTGAGTTCCTGAAAATAAATGTCATTTCTTCATCTTTGTACCCTAGAACTCAAAAATGTGTGGATGAATGAATGATGTAAAAGGAACAGTCCAGTAACCTTGGCTAAGCCACTCTACCTTGAATACATTCATTTGTTCATTCGTTCTCATCTAATGTGAAATGACCCCTGTAGTCTCAGTCACTTAGACTATGCACATTTGGGCCTCAGCTCATTCTGTGATCTAGCTGGAATGCCCTCTTTCTTATCTTCCCCAAGATCTAGTCTTTCTTTTGTTTAGGTCCTCATTTATGATCCACTTCCTCCCGACACCCATTATCACACTATTAACTGCTTGTTCTTCTGAATTCCCTTTAAATTGTTTTCTGTAATGCTTACTCATCACCCAGCACTTACTAACTAATGTGTACAAAGAAAGAGAACAAATTGTTCTCTGAACAAACAGCAGAGAAGAGGTCTTAGCAGTAGCATAGGTGTTACCAAAAACTGAGAGGAAAGGAAAAATCAAGGTGGGCTGCAGTAATCTTACAGAAGGATTCTTGTAAGGAAGAAAGGTGAAGTTTAGATAAGTGAAAATAAAGGTACGAAAAACCTGAAATCTGGAGGTGATACAGATGGCATAGGCTGGATTGGGGGCATAACAAAAAGTCTGAAAGCTTATGATATTGCCAACATTGTAGAATTAAACTTTTGTTTGGTAGCTGACCTGAAATAGTTACATAATTCTTCATTGTCAACTGTTCTTTATTTCTAAGACACTATGGCAGAAATAGTGGCTGTATCACCTTTTTCAATAATCTTGGTATTAGTTCCAGTGTCTATAGCATCAGTTTTTGTTTTTTTTTTACAGTTAAGGTTTTATATGATAAATACTTTTTTTGTATTGGGGGAACAAAAGGCATTCCATTCTTTATTTTATGTATCCATAGTAGCCACAAATATAACTAATACCTTTTTTAAAAATCAAACTGTAATATCAAGTTATGACTCTAAAGCAATCTTTTTTGTAAGGTGAAAAGGTTTTAAGTCTCTTTATCAGGTGGTTATTATTACCGCTCCACCTTGAGTTTTCACCTGTTTATATGTATTCAGTCATAAACTATGACATTTATCCAATCCTACCCTACCTTTCCAAGAATTTATTGCCCAGAACTATTTCACTGTGTATGTACAAGAAATGAAAGTCACTACCCTAATGTATATTTATGTCTATCTGTTTTCCTATTTTACCAAAAATTATTTTTTCCAATTGCCAAATATCTAAACATTACAACTATAGATCATACATTTCTCCTTGAAAACCATTTTCTAGCTTTCATAAAATAAGTCTTTGTGTGCATACGTGTGTGTGTGTGTGTGTGTTTATTTTTTTCCCTCACCTTAAAATACTGAGGCTTCTCTTCTGCTTTCTTTTTTTTTTTTTTTTTTTTTTTTTTTTTTTTTTGGCCATCTATGTTGGTTAAAAGGAAAAATGTCTGTCTACAATTACTATACAAAGAGGGAAAAACGAAAATCTACTGTCCCCTACTATCCCACTAAATATTCTTCAATAAATAACACATTTTTATATAACTGACTATGGATACACATAAGGGCATAATCTTACCTCTCTAAGATTTTTTTTCCTCTTAAAGTTTTACCAAGGTCCTCTAACTTTAAAACCCTGAAGATGCTTAAAAGTGATCCTAGAGCCCACCTAACCCACACCAGGAACAGTTAAGAAGGTTGGGATTTCAGGGAAGACTGAGCTTCTATATGAGAAGTTCGGCATTCTTTCCACTCAGCAATAAGGAGGGCTAGCTACCAGATCCTGTAGAAAACAAAGAAAGAAAAAGTGAGAAGCCTAGATTTAGCTAGAGAAGGGAAAGAATTCAGGATGTGAATAAAATTAAGGAAAGAGAAATCAATAAGTCACAATTCTATAAATAATTTATAACTGCTTGTAATATTTAGTGAGTCCTTAGAGATATTTCACACCACTATTAAGAAAAAAATTCTATGATCAGCCCAAATACCACTGTACTCTTTGTAAAGAGGTCAAACCTTGTATGTTAGCAAAACTAAAATTTGGGCATTGATTTTTCTGTCCAAAAAAAAAAAAAAAATGA